CTAAAAGCAACCTCAATTACAAGCTAATTTCATTAAAAACAGCAGAAATGGCAGGGGAACAACTGAAGTGATCAAATTCATAAAACCTTCAACTTCTTGCACAAAATTTCATGAAGTCTAGACTGCATTCGTTCTCTAAAAGACCCTTACAGGGCATTCTCATTTTGGAATCTAGGATTTCAGCAAGATTTCCATTCAAATACCCATTAAGATAATTAAGCTTCAAATATTTGAATCTTTTGAGGAATTTGAACTCTTCATCTTCAGTAAAGTAAAGTAAGTTTGACTCAAAAGTCCATAATGAATCTTTATGGGAGGTATGCAATTTTGTAAGTAACTCCCATGAAGCAGAATATCTCTTAGCTGCAAGCTTTCCCATAGACATTAGCCTAATGAAAATAAATCCACCAAATTCATCTGACTCAGACAGCAAATTGGAGATAGATCCTAGTTAAGAATTCCAAATCCGAGGACCATCTCTTTCTTTTGCCCCCAATCAATCTGCCCAGGAAGAGCATCCTCTCTAACAACTTCCACAGCAACACTCTCAAACAGGCAAGAATAGACCTAAAGGGAGTTCCCATGAAAAAAAGGGTTGGCAGGACTTTGAATTCCTGAAGTAATAGACTCTTTGCAAGCTGGCAAATAAGGCCCATAGCAAAATAGCCTAAACTCACAATCCCAAAACGATCCTACTATAATGCAAAACCCTGATTCGGTTGCCCACTCATGCATTTCAGAGCTTGATTGTGATCTTAATTCAGATAATTTAAACACATCAATGTAGCATGATGGTTTACCAAGATCATGAGCCCAGTACAATAGTGGCATCAATGGCTTGCGCACATCACAAAGAATTAACAAACTATCAGAAGCCAAAACAAATTGAAACCCATTGGATCTTGGTCTCGAGAAAGCAAAGAACTGTTCCTTTCCTACTGGAGCATACCACATCAACATCTCGATATTTGCTAAACAAATTATATTAGACTTGTCAAGCCTTAAATCAACTAAAAATACTGTATTAGTTCCAGCAACAAGTAAAATCCTAGGATGCCAACTAAACTCATAGCCCAGCTATTTACGGTTCTTCAAACTTACTGAATCATCCCCATAAAACTCTCAATCTAGTGCCTTCAATGCAGGCATTTGGTTTTTGAGGCTTAAAATAAGTTCTCAAATCAAACATAAATAATGCACCATTCTTCAACAAAACCAGACATTCTTGAGGCAAATGTGAACTCCGACAAGCATCCGCAATCCAGCTCTTGAACAATTTACAACCGAAATAATCCACAACAGGCCTTTTGCTGAAATCAGCTATTTTAATATAGAACCAATGAACAGAGTACATAGTACAAGCCATCAAATACCCAACAACAGCATCAGAAGAGGAGTTACCTAAACAATCGTCAAAATCACCAACTGGGTTCACCAAAATCCTCAAGATCTTTTGATTAATTTGGTACTTTGCGACAAAAATCGTCATTGTTTTCATTGCTTGCAACCTCCAATTTATTCTCTTTCACCTGAAGAACCAAAACCCAACTTGGTCATGGTTGGACCCAGTTGAGAAGAACACTAGAGTAATGTTGTGGTCAGGGCAGTGAAGCAACTGGACGCGATTGTGAGAGAAAAATGACATGGCAACAGGGTCATGGTAGGAGTTGGTACCAAAGAGGGAGGCAATGAAGTGAGCCGTGGAGAGAAGGAGAGCGTATGTGGAAAGAAACCAGGAGAGAGATAGTTGAGGAGTGGGATTGAGGAGAGGAGGGAATAATAACGGAGAGGAGGAGAGGGGTGTTGGTAGGATATTGAGTTTAGGGTTGAAGAATAGCGGACCCATGGTAGAAGAAGATAGAAGAAGGGGTGGCTTGAAGGAGCTGCCAATTGGGAAAT